TACTGTAGAGCCTTATTTATATAGAATGAAATTTTAATTAATATGGAAAAAATTAGGTAGATTATGTAATGTATTTACTCCTCAAATAAATGAGATTCTACTATATTGATATATAATATTAACAATATCATAATATTATTAATAATTATTGGTGTACAATACTAATAGTAATATAATGTATAATGATATATAATATATAATACTATTATTAATTTTTTATGTTCACAGTATTATTAGATTTTTAAGAATAAATTTGTCATTCAGTGTAATAATGATATAATTAAAACATAACTACAAGAATCTTGTTCTTTATAATAATAATAATTCAAAAGTTATTATCATGTAAAATAGAGACAGAAATACATAAACTTTGAGTTGTCTCAAATTGTTGTAATAATTAATCAGTGATAAATTTACATGTCAAAAATAATAGAAAGGACATTATTTTCTAATAAATTTCTTTCTCATCAATTACCAAAGGAAAATAATAAATTCCAATTTTTTGAAGATATACAAAACATAACTCTCAGTATTTATATTTTCAGTCGTCAGAGTCTTTTGTTTATAAAATGACAGACAAATTTATTCTTGACTTCTGTTATTTATGTTCTATCGCCAAAATTTTCATTTGGATTTCCAACTTCGATCTGAAGTTTAAATGAAATTATAAAATAATTGGCACGCTAATGTATTTGATATTTTGATGACAGAATGATCGATGAATTACTTAATTGTTATGATTTGCAGTTAAGAAACGCCACGGCGATCTTCATAATGAATCTCTCGCTTTCGGATTTAATGTTCTGCTGTTTCAACCTTCCGCTTGCTACGTCAACTTTTTGGCATGGTTCTTGGAAACACGGACCTCACTTATGTCGGCTGTTTCCTTTGTTACGATATGGCTTGGTAGCAGTAAGCCTTTTCACCATACTAGCGATTACATTCAATCGTTACGTTATGATAGGCCATCCTCGATTTTATCCTAGGTGAGTAAATTAAGTATTTGACTTGGAAGTATTTCTGCAGTGTGAAATTTTCTTCTGTACATATCAGAGAAGAATTAAAATTGATTATAGTTGAAAAATAATTACAGAATTAGAAAATAATTCTGTGTGTCAGAGGAAAATTAAAATTGATTATAATTAAAAAATAATTACAGTAAAGCTTTAGTTAACTCATTAATTTATTATAAATTATATTATGATATACATTATATTATATTATAATATATAGTATTTTTTATATTAGATATATATATAAAATATGCAATATGAGATTTATTATAAATTAGATTATAGTATATATTATATGAATAATACTATGATATAATATACATCATTAATATAATATAATATAATATAATATAATATAATAATATAATATAATATAATGTGCATTATCTGCAATCAGCTTTAAACATCATTCTCACTTAAGGTTTAATATAAAATTCCTTTTTTTTTTTTTCATTTAAAATTGTAGCAATATTCTTTTTCCTTTTCAGGTTGTACAAATCAAAGTACATAGCACCAATGGTTTTGAGTACATGGATATTTGGCTTCGGTGTCCTCATCATCACATGGTTCGAAAACTGGGGTCGTTTTGGATTGGACGTGGCCATTGGTTCCTGTTCAATCCTGCCAGATGTAAATGGCCGTAGTCCAAAGGAATTCTTGTTCGTCTTCGCCTTTTTGACACCTTGCGTAGCAATCGTTGTTTGCTACGCGAGGATTTTCTACATTGTCCGGAGAACTGCTTCTAAAAGTAGAAATCGGAACATAACAACAGCTAGTACGGACGCTGTTGAGATTAACAACGAGGTAGGTGTAGATCTGAGGCTCACTTCTCCGCCATAATAATTAGTTTTTCATTCTGTCGTAGATCGTACAAATTATTTTCCTCTATCTTCCTTTAACTTTAACAGCTACAGAAAACAATTAACAGCTAAAGAAATGAAAGGAATAGCGCTAGCGTTAGATAATCAAAGACAAGATATTGAGTGAATGAAAGTTAACTAAAAATGTTTTATTTATCATTCTTTTAATTTTAACGTTTTTTGGTTTTCAATTTTCACTTTCAGTTTTAATTTTATTTTCCAGTTTTACCATGTAATCGGACACAGGTATATTTAAGCTTATTATAAATCATTCTTTGGCCGTCACTAAGTACTGAAAATTATATGACGCTACAGTTAGCGGTCATCACAATGTAAATATAAAATTAATGGAACGTTATCCAAATATATATAAATTTCGCTATGATATCGTGCAGAGAATAAATAAAATTTTTCGTTTTCATTAACTGGAATAACAGATATGCATAATATATTGGAAGTTAATTCAATAGATTATTAAATAATTCAATAGACTATTATTAAACGAATGTTTATGACTGAGCATAAACAAATATATAAAGAAATGATCTTTTATGTTTATTATTACTAATTACTTTAGTTATTAAGTTTCTTCTTATTTTCCTTTAATTACAGGGACGATCGACATCATTCAGGATCCAAGAAGAAGAACTGTCAGCGATGGGTTCGAACTGTTCAGCGAGTGTCCTCTGCGGGAACTTCACCTCCAAACGCGCCGTACCGTCTCCAAATCGACTTCATTGCTCGAGCACACCATCAAGGTCAGCGATGGAGGAGTCGTTGTCAGAGCAACTGTCGTGGGAGCAGAATTCAGCCAAGTCCGATGAAGAAAACGACGAGGAAGAAATGGACGACGAAGAAGACATCCAGCGAAGGAGAAACCAAGAACAAAAATGTAAGAAGGACCACAGAGGCCAAGCCGATCTGCCGATCGGGAAATTCGTCGAAACATGTGACAAAGCGATACCTAATCTGGAGGTAAAAATAGACGATATACCGTACGTGGACGATATGGACGCAGCCGAGACTGTTCTCACAAACAATCAAATTAAGATCAAAGAACCTGGCGAGAAAGCTTCCACGAACGCTCGAAATAAATTGGAGAGAATGGCAAGCAGAGCATCGTTCATCATCGAGTCGGCACTATGGGTGCAAAGGCTGAACTCGAAAGTGTCAACGGGCAGCGATCGGCTCGACAGCTCGAGATCGAACACGCCAGATCGATCGACGAATAACAAGAGGAAACCGACGATGCGTCGCAGAGAATCAAGATTTATAAATATCAGGAAATTAACGAATATAGACGGCCCGCCAAGGATGAGTAACAAGGACAAGAAGCTGTTGAAAATGATTTTGGTGATATTCTCGTCGTTTCTTGTTTGCTACCTACCGATCACCATTACGAAGACTTTCAAGGACGTTATCGATTGGAGAGGTCTGAATATCGCCAGCTACATACTAATTTATTTGACTACGTGTATAAATCCAGTGGTTTACGTGGTGATGAGCTCTGAGTATCGGAGCGCGTATAAGAACGTGTTGCTTTGTAAAAATGATTCCGCCGTGAAGAATGAAATCAGAAAGTCACCAGGGTGAAGAAAGGTTAGTAATTAAGTACTTGAAGTTACAGTCGTTTACAAAAAAAGTATCTCAAGGAAAAATTCACACGGTAGTTCGTAGTAACGTTAGCAAATTAATTGGAAAATTGCTTACACGAGATGAGGAAGATTTATTTGTACATAACTGATATACTAGAATAACTCATGAACTTAAAATATTCAATAAAAGAAAATTTATGAAAAAGGGAATATACAATTGAGTTCGAGGATTGATACTTATTTGGATGTCCGTTTATAATAGTGTTGTTGAATTAATTGTTTTTTGAGTCATTTAGCGTGTACAATTTTTTTTTCTAGCGATGAACTAAATAATGGTGGAATTTGATATTGCAAAATCGACTTGAATATCAAGTTACTACATGTACGACGTATATATATTTAAAATATATGAAATTAGTATAAATCTGATGTTATTCGTTCAGTGTACTAAGGTGAGAAGATTGTTAGCATGAAAATTAATTTTTCTATTTCAGTAAGAAAAGTTACCAATAAAACTGATTCTGAAGCTGTAAACGGAATCTTTTGGAATATTTAATAAATGAAAGGTATTTAAATATACTTCGTTAGAAAATATTATTTATTTATTTGTGAGATTAAATTTAGATTTAAATTATAGTTTGAGGTATGTCATGACATTAGAGATTAAATGAGGAGTCCAGAAGAAATATGGTACACGTGACTAAAATTTTAATTGGAGAAAATAATAAATAACAGACAAATTAAATGTTACAGCAGAAAGATTTGCAAATTTGTGCAATTTATTGTCAATTTATATCGTCTTTTATTCAGAGAAAACGCATTTGTACCATCTTCCTACTGAGGCCAAGAGAATGTACAAGTTTATTAATATATTCAATAGAGTATGTTTAAAATCGCAACGAATCGAAATTCTCGTGTTACAATTTATAAACAAATCTTCGAGATGTTTGTTTCTTAAAAATTAACAAATTGGAAATTTATTCAATACAGAAAATACTATGGGAAAATTAATACAATGGGAAAGAGAACTCGCCTGTTAGTTCAATTGATTTAAATTTTTACACGAAGATAAACGTGCTAACATGATCGCAAAAATAAACGTTTAAAATGTTTACGATTTGTACATATAATATACACGGTCAGTCACAGAAATCTACATACATCTATCAAGTTCCAAACATTTAAAGAATTACAAGGATTTTTAGTACTTTACAAGTACTGATCTATTTATTACATTATAAAATTATAAACAATTTCATTATAGTAAAAATGATAAATTATAAATAATTTTATTAAAAATGTGAATCAACAAGTTCTAATTAATTATTAAGATTTGTTAATTAATTTAAGATTTCACATGACTTTCAACAACACTTTCCCGTTTGCGATCATTTAAATAGAAAGTCAATAAGGACTTTCAATAAATTTTATTCGCGAATAGGCGGTATCGCACCATTTCGCATCATACTGATTTTGTTCGTCGGGTAAGCCCATTTTATCTGTTCACCCGTTTCATCTTTTTCATCTTCTTCATTTTCATCTTTTTCATCCTCTTCATTTTCATCCTTTTCAGTTTCCGATTGCGGTGTTACCTGCGTTACATTCAAAGGACGTTTCTCTTTGTCTTTGAAGAACATTCTGGCGGCTGCTCCGCTCATGCAAGTGCCGCTTATTATTATGAACCACCTCATAAACCTGTTTGACAAATCGTAATTTTTATATCGCAATTAAATTTCAAATAATTCCTAACGATACTGCGTCCTTTCACTCATTTTCGAATTAACATT